AAAGTTTCTTGTCCCCATGATGTAGCATGGTTTGTTCAGGAGTGATGTACTCGTATCAACAGATGAGATTTCGAGTATAACACCTGCAATGTGTGAATTTCATTTTCTTTAGGGATTGGGCAACTTGTTGGCACTGGTCAGACCTGATGAATCGACGTACAACTGATTTAACTCTGAAATGATGATACTGGGATGAGGAGGTGTGGATCAATACGAGTGTTGTTGGTTACTTTTTTGGACAAATTAGGATCAGTAACGACAAACAAGTACTTTGTTTATATTACTCGGAATGAAATTTCCTTCAAAGTTGAAGCATGTTTTTGGGATTTTCAAACTTTAGTGGCCAAATTAGGAAGTAGACAAAAAAAAAGTCCGCCCCTTAATGGTTCTAAAACTCTCTGAATGATTTTGTATCTTGAATATTCCTTAACCATTAAGAGCCCTAATTTCATTGTACACAATTACCAAACAATTATATTTCATTTTGCATTATATCATGAGAGTCTCTTAATCATTCTGCACCAAAACCATTCAGCAATTGCCAAACAACCCCTTAAGTCTCGTTTAATGATTTATAGTTTAAAAAATGTTTGGTAGAGTTTTGTTGATATAGTATTAATGTGACATAGACTTCTAATCATGTGATACACGTGATACAACATTTTTACACTTGAAACTTCATAGTAAAACATTGTGAAGATAACCTTTACAGTGTTTTTGCTGTGAAGATTCAGATTTTTTTACCTTCACAATATTTTGTTGTGAAGTTTCAAATGTAAAAATGTTGTCTCATATGTTTCACGAAAATAAGCTGGTCTCGCATGAACCCAATCTATGTGACATATGTCTTATATAAAATTTAACGTGTCTTTGTTTATAACTCAAAATATACTACCTTCAAATTATAGTTTTTGAAATATATATATATATATATATATATATATATATATGTATAGGGGAACGTTCAAATAAAAACCACTCAATTTGTAAAAACCGTGAAAACCTCATTCAACCAATCATAATTTTTCATTTTGTTCATTTTTTTATAATTATGAGAGGTTGATTAACCATTTTTATTGTGGAGGGGGTTAATTATGAATATTATCATCTTCATTACTTTAATTTTAGAGAAATACATGAAACAGTTTCATTAAAATTCTATTAAATATTATATGAAACAATTTCATAACCATATGAAACAAATTCATCAAAAAAAAAAATTATATGAAACAATTTCATAACCATATATGAAACAAATTCATCAAAAAAAGTATTATATGAAACAATTTCACAAGATTAAACAATTTCATGAAAAAATTTCATAAGATTAAACAATGAAATCGACGTATGAGGCTGGTTTGTACGGTTTTTACAAATGGGGGTGGTTTTCATTTGATCGCTCATATCTCTCTCTCTCTCTTTCTCTCTCTCTCTCTCTCTCTCTATATATATATATATATATATATAGTTGGGTTACGGTGAGAAGGAGAGTTAAGGTAAGAAACTCGTTTCAATATGAAAAAAATAAAACTTAGTTCAAAGTGATCACGTCTAAGTGTGGTACATTGTCAAAGTGTGTTGTTCGTAGCTGCATTTTATATTTCACATGATAGACTGGACACTACAAAAATGAATAGTATCAGCGAGGAAAAATTCCCTCGCAAATCCATCGCTAAAAGGGTCTTCCGTCGCTGATCGTCCATTGATGAGAAGCTCGTAGGTAATGCTATCATCGACGAATCAACGACGGATTTGCGAGGGTTACTTTCAGCGACAGATCAGCGAGAGAACTTTCAACGATGGATTTTCCCTCGCTGATCTGCGAGGGATCAGCGAAGAAATCTGTTTTTGGTCTTTCCCTCGCTGATTAGCGAGAGATTTTTTCCCTCGCTGATTTTCGTCGCTGATACATTGTTTTCTAGTAGTGGGAATATGAATTATATATACCCGTGAAACAAATAATTTAAGAATATATATACGTTCAACATGATAACAAAATCACACCAATAATCCAAGAACGAGTAGTATCATATGGAAGAAAACACAAATTTAACTGCTCAAAATCGGAAGATGCATACAAAATACAGGGAAAATTGTCATTTCGCTTAGCGAACGTGCTAGAAAGTTAGATTTTATAGAAAACAGGAAAGACGAGGCCCAAAGAAGAAAAAATGGAAAAAAAGAATAGATCAAATCATCATTTAGCTGGCCGAGTCTAGTTCATGGTTAAGAGTCGTATCAATCTCATATCATATATACAAAGACCGACAAAATAATTTGAGAACATATAAGTTTCACAAGATAACGAAATCACACCAGCAACCCAATAATGAGTAGTATAATATAGAAGAAAACACAAATATAAATGAAGGGCAAAATTGTCATATTACATAATGTACTGCTATTAAAGTTGGGTTTTGAAGAAAACGTGAAAGATAACGACCCAAAGTGCGAAAAAGCAAAAGTTGATGAAATTGTAAATCGATTGGCTAAACATATATGCAATGATGACTGGTTGTATAAAAGCTTATATGTTCAAGACGATAATGAAATCATGCATGTGTTTCAAGAGCGGGTAGCATAACAAAGAAGAAAACATAACTTCACCCATTTAAAACTGAACTTGATACAAATAGACTAAGGGTAAATTTGTCATTTTACATGATAGATTCATAGAAAAGTCGAGTTTTTGAAAGACAAAGTGAATATGATAAGGACCCAAAGTGCAAAAAGAGACAGTTGATCAAATTATATATGTAGCTGGTTAGGTGACCCGATTCAATAAATTTCGTATTTAACCCCACCAAATTGCTCTAATGATGATTCCGGTCCATTGATATGGACGTTAACATGTGCAAATGCATTTAATACTTCGATTTAGGACCAAACTAAGAATTTTATATTGTTAAAAATCACGTGGATGATATCCTTAAAGATGGCTCAAAATAGCTACATTGTAGCTATAGCTGATATGAAAACAAAGGTGAGAAACGAAAATGAAAATTACTGGTATCTGGTTTGATACAACAAAATGGGCGATTAGCAGATATCGAGTAATGAAGCAGTCCTTGACAAAGTGAGGGGAAATGAAACTCATTCCCATTTCGGTTCTCTAAAACGAACCAAACGCCTCATCATTTAAACGTGCACATATTATTAGAGCCCTTCCATTCTGTTCTTACCATATCATGGGCAGTTGAGATTGAGTTCCACGAATATGCAGGCTAGAAAGATGCTATTTTTTTATTAACCAGGATATCTAACCCGCTATGCGAGCCGACTAATCCCAGGGTGACCACCTGCTTTGCAGATGGTCCGGAGTCACTGCATTTGAGAAGAGTTACTAAAAGTTTAACCAATTATCATCAGTTACAATATTTTGATTCTGAACCGGTTAAGAACACAATTATTAGGGTCTGGAACGCTTGCCTTTTTGTTTCTTACTCCTATTACCTCTGCTTGAACCATTTACCCTTCTGGTTGAATATAAACATGTGTTTGAGTTGGTGACTTATTCAAAGAAATCAAAACAACTTCAAAAGCTCCAAAATCAAGGAATCGTTCAACACCAAAATTTTCGATTTTGATGCTTAGTCAAATTGTTTATCCGATTTTCCTTTTAAAGTTATTTTACTTGTTTAGCAGATCGAAAGCAGAGCAATGTCACTCTTTTTGGAACCAATGCTCGTCTTGAAGAGCCAAACCGGGCGAAAGACATTGTCAAGTGGAAAGTTTGGCTCAGGTAGCACACTATGAAAAAGTAACGCAGGTTAACTACGATGAACTCAAGAAAAACAAAGATATGAAACAGTACTGATTAAAACCCTAGTTTTTATCGAATCTCTCTTATCCAAATACCATATTTAAGAAAGATGGCCCAAAACCTTCATAGCCCATCTACAATTTGGACTAGATTAGGCCCAATGTGTTGGACCTTAGAAGCCCATTACTTTGTTTCAAACCATAGTGGACACAAATAAAATAGGATCCCTTAGTTTCAAAATACATTTACATTTTGATTTAATTTTGTTACAAAATAAATGTCTAAAAAATAAATTTTGTTAATTCTACCATTAATTTTAATAGACGAATATTTTAAAAAATGTAGAAACAAAAATAAAATTGTCATTTAATTTATTAAGAATTATAATATTTTTTTATTTTTTTTAAAGTATGTGCTAAAACATTTATATAAAGACGAAGAGAGTAAGTGTCACGTTTCAATATATGTGTATATATGTATGTGTATGTAGGGTTGGATTCCGATAAGAAGAAAAGTTAAAGTGAAAAGCGTAAGAAGGAATTTTCCACCCTTAGATGAATATTAGGATAAGATGCAACGAGATGCACCAGATCAGTTCATGTGAGAAACCCAATTCATTGATGGGCAATAGAGATTAAACGTAGGGTTGTTCATCAGTTGACATTCGTTGGATATGAAAGGAACCGAACCGATCCAATCATCCATTGAATGTTGGATTTTGTCAACCGATCCAATTAACATTGTATAATCGATCCAATCCAGCCCAATTGATGATTGGATCGGTTCAGTTTCATCCATTGGATACTTTTATTGAATATCAAATGGATAATCTGTTAGGATTGGATCCATCCAGTGTGTTAATTCAATCCAATTATTCAACAATGATACAAATTAATTAATCACTTTTAATATGTGTTAAAACCAACACAAGGAAAGTTAAAAATTCAAAGCCTCACATAAAACAAATTCCGATTTAAGTAATTTGAAAATAAATTAGTTGGATAATGGTTGGATGGACAACTTGATGGTCATCGGATGATTAATTGGATGTTGAACGGTTCGGTTCGGTTCAGTTTTGGTCGGTTTTGGACTGCCATCCGAGAACCGACCGGTCCAAATTCAATGTTGAAATTTTCAATCCGATTCGATCCAATTACAATTGGATATCCAATTATGGTTGGTCGGTCGGTCCTAAGGATTAAATATTAGAATGCTTGTAATTTGCATAAACGAAATTGTTACGATTTTTATATTTATTTCAGATTAAGTAAAAAAGTTAAAATAATTTTACACGTAAACAAGAAATACAATGACTTTATAACACACTTCAAAACTTCTTAATAGGCTTTGAGTTTTCCTTTGATAAAAGGATTCTCAATTATTAAGACCGTACATATGCAACATATAATTAAGCATTTTATTTTATGTTACAAATATTATTTCAAGATTTTTCTTGCACCGATTCCCTTGGTGGTGGGCATGGTACTGGTGGTGGCGGTGGTGGTGGACACGGCTTTACAACAATAGGTGGTGGTGGTGGTGGGCATGGCTTTACAACAGGTGGCGGCTTTATGGTTGGTGGAGGAGGATGCATTATTGGTGGATGAGGTGGTGGTTTTACGGTTGGTGGAGGAGGATGTCCTACTGGTGGATGAGGTGGTGGTGGCTTTCTGATCGGTGGAGAAGGATGAACTATTGGTGGAGTAGGTGAGGGTTTTGTGACTGGTGGTGGTGGTGGTGGCGGCGGCGGCGGCGATCCGTAGTGTGGCGGTAGAACTACTGGCGGCATAGGATGACTAGGTGTAGGTACCATCGGTGGAAACAAAGGAGGTGGCTTTGGCCAATATGGCGGGTTTACAATAGGCGGATGAACATATGGAGGTTTGACAATGGGTGGATGTACGAACGGTGGTTTAGGAAAATATGGCGGTTTAACAATTGGTGGATGTACCAATGGTGGTTTTGGAAAATATGGTGGTTTGACAGTAGGTGGATGTACGAATGGTGGTTTTGGAATATACGGCGGTTTAACAGTTGGTGGATGTACATATGGCGGTTTGACAATGGGTGGATGTACAAATGGTGGTTTTGGAACATATGGTGGTTTAACGATCGGTGGATGTACATGTGGTGGTTTAACGATCGGTGGATGTACATGTGGTGGTTTAACAACAGGTGGATGTACAAAGGGCGGTTTAGGGACATAAGGTGGTTTAACGGTGGGTGGAGTCGGAGTGACTATCGGTGGTTTGGGAACATACGGTGGGGATGATTTTGGTGGCGGTTTAACCACCGGCGGGGTTGATTTAGGTGGTGATGGTGGTTCACATGTTGGACAAGCAATAGATAGAGTATCTAAGTTCAAAAGTAAAAGTAGAAAAACACCCCATTGAAGCTTTCCCATTTTAGGCAAGAATCCCAAGTGATTAATCAATAAGCCCTCATCCTTTTTATACTTGCTTGGCTACTTGATTATTTAAAAAACAATATTATAATATTAATTTTTGACAATTTTACCCTTAATCAAATTTATAATTTACCTAAAACTTAAAACTTTATTTTGGTGATCTGAGTTGTAGCAGCTGTTTCTTGACAGAAGTTTTCAGTTTTATGACTCAGTTGATTCTAAATTATGACACGAACTTATTTCTGTACGTAAATCAGCCAAATAAAAAGCAGCATTCAGCTTTTCTTGAGGTAAGTTATCTGACGCGTGAGTTCGTTCGGATCCTCTCACGTGTTCAATCTTTTTTAGCGGTTTTTCAGGCAGTTACTCTAAACTGGGTCTACGCCAGTTTTACCTCTAGTGGCTGGTAGAGACCAACCGAGAGGGGAGAACGAATGGATCTTATTCAAAAAGAAAGATCTCAAATATATGGATTGCAATTGAGTCGACCATCTTTACCATTTCATAATAGATTTACTAAGGAGGAAATACAGTGTTAGTGTGTTACTCATGCTATAGTGACAATCAGTGTCACATATACTGATATCTGTTGTAACATCAACAACTGTAGACTTAACAAAACAAAAACGATGAAACAAGAATCAGTTACAAGCAATCAAAAATTCAGATACAGCAACAAACCATATATTCGTATGAAAAAACAAAAAACCGAACGCATGTTACGGCCATGTACTCTCCGTGTCTTCATTCTTTTCGATTCTCGTATTGGTTTCTTTTTACATCAAGTCAACAAGATTTAGCGTCTCGTATTTAACATCATTAAGACAAACCGATATAATCATAACATTGAATCATTTTAACAATAACAACAAAATAAGTTGGTGTAGTCGAAAACGACTTTTCTTTTAAAAAAGTGTCTGTCTCGAATCTTGTATTGACACGGTTTTCCATCATGCAATGACTGAAAATCAATTTACAGGTTAAAAGAATCAATAAAAGTGGACTTTGTTTACAGATTTGTACGAATATGTGTCTGTAATTGATTGTGACACCATTAATCATTTATAGTAAATTGATTACAGCTTATAATTATGAAACATTTAATATTATTGTTTTCAGTTCGAAACCTTTAAATTAATTAACTCATAATAAAAATTAGAATAAATAAAAATGAATTTGTATTTATCAATAATTTTCTGTTATCTTAGATTTGTTTATTATTCCTAAAATGTTGCTGGTATTATTGAAGATTTCTTATGTCGATATTTACGTTGTCGATAATGATGTAATAATGCTTTGATAAATCATAAGCTTCTTATGATGTGATTTTGCTGTGATAATGGTGTGATAGATCGAAAACCAGTGATGATCACATCCACAATCATCAACTCTGTCTGTTTATTATTTGATTTGTAGTTTTTTTTTCCCATTTCACCCATGCATACCTTCGATATTCCTAAAAGGGGGTAAATATTTATTTAATATTAAATTGTTCCCTCAATCTTTTTAAAACTGTGAATTAAAACAAAATGATGGATATAAATGTTTTCGTATTTGCGTAAATCACATGTTTCTCATTTGAAACTTTCTCATATAGAATATACTATTATAATTTATAATTAATAATGGATTAAAATCTATTTTGAAAAGCATATATATAGACGAATGATCGTGTAAGAAAAGAAGTTATGGTGAGAAATGTACGAAGAGAATTAATTTGGTGCATGACAGTACATCTCATTAGTGTTGACGTTCAATTAGGATTGATCAAATGGTGGAACTCTCTTCTTACGCTTCTCTGTATAACTTTCTTTCTCATCAGAACCCAACCCTCTACTTATATACACACATACATATTATATGTGTGTATATATATATATATATATATATATTGAGTTCCAATGAGAATGATAGTTACAGTGAGGAGGGTAAGAAGAGAACTCAATCATTGGATCAATTCTACTTGAATATCAACAGTAATGAGATGCACCAAGATGTACCGGATCAATTTGTGTATCAATTGTAATTCATGAAGTGGGAGTGACATTAAAAACGATCAAGATCTAGATCTCTTCTTAAGTTTCTCACCTTAACTCTTATTTACATACGATATATATATATATATATATATAGAGAGAGAGAGAGAGAGAGAGAGAGACTTGGGATCACTGAGACCAGCCTGTTTTTTTTAGATCCATAAGAATATTTTTTACACTTAAAATTTCGCAGCAAATTGCTATGAAAGTTCGTCTTTTTTTTACCTTCACAGCGTTTTGCTGTGAAGTTTCAAGTGTAAAAAAACAGTTTCATGGGTCTTATGAAAACAGGCTGGTTTCACATCAAAATTTACGCGTTATTAGAAATTATATTTTTATTAAAACAATTTATTGTAAATTAATGTGATGGCTAATTTTTGTTGGTTAATGGATTGATTTTTCAACGTTTTGGGGACAATCCTTGGATTTGATGTTTGTGCGGAAAAACTATTTGGTACGTGATCATTAATTGATTTATTATTCAAACAAATCTTTGTTCAATTTTTTTATTTTTTATTTTTAATTAACTTTTAATAACTCTATTTCTTTTAAAAATGTAATTTATTTTGGATTATTTAAAAAAAGTTATGTCGTTTTCAGAAATATTTCGATCAAAACTTATTTAATTATTTATCAGTTTTTGTATGAAAACCTGATATGCATGGTCGGTACACGATATCAGGAGTCCTGTACTATAGTACCGACTTATTTAATTATTTACCAGCTTTTGTATGATAAACCTGGTATGCTTAGTTGGTACACGATATTGGAAGTCTTGTATTATGGTATTGACTCATTTAATTATTTACCAGTTTTTGTATGATAAACCTGGTACGCTTAGTTGGTACACGATATTGGAAGTTCCGTACTATGGTACCGACTTATTTAATTATATATATATATATATATGTTTTTATATTTTTTATATATATTGTATATTATACATAGGGTTGTACATGAATCGAACGAACACGAAGAGAGACTTGTTTATGTTCGTTCGTTTAACTTAACCGAACAAATGAACGAACACGAACGGTAAGCGAACGAAAATCTGTGTGTTCGTGTTCGTTCGTTTAGAAATCAGATGTGTTCGTGTTCGTTTACGTTCGTTCGTTAACATGCTAAACGAACGTAAACGAACGAATATAAACAAATGGCTAAATGAACATAAATTAACGGGCTAAATGAACATAAATAAATATTATTTGAATTCAAAATAAATAAATAAAAGATTATATATTAATTTTAATATATAAACGAAAATAAACGAACGGTAAATGAAGGAACGTTCACGAACATAAATGAACGAACGAGACTCTTGTTTATGTTCGTTCGTTTAATTAAACGAACAAAAAAATTTGTTCATGTCTGTTCATTTATTAAATAAACAAACATAAACGAATTTTCTGCCTGACGGTTCGCTGAACGTTCGGTTCGTTTACAGTCCTAATTATACATCGTAACATTAATTTTTTTGTTTGAACATTCTCATGTTTGCACGGTTTTGTTTTTGCAATTAATAAACCTTTATATATGACATGTACCATCATACGTAAACTCAAAATGTCATTCAAAATTTAAATAAAATTACAAGTTTTTATATATGTAACTTGAAGTTAGTACAAAACCAGTACCATCATATACCGATCGAAAAATGTTAATACTGATTAAGTTTCTACCAAATATGATTGGTTGGTATATTGTAATTTTTTTTTGCATATAACAATTATAAAATTAATTTTTAAATATTAAAAATAATAATAGTGATAAGTTGTATTTTACCGAAATTAATTTCTAAATTATTAATATTTTTTTATATTTTCAAGTACTAATCCAATTTCAATTTTTTTACATGACTATCCTTTTTATTTTAATATATTATTAAAATATTAAAACTTTAATTATTTGCTAATCATGTATTGAAATTTATTAAAGATTGAGTTAAATAATATTTGTATACAGTAAATACAATAAATTAAGGGGTTGTTTACTTGCGGCTTAATTAGTCTTATTGGTCTATCTGGCTTATTCGCACAACTCATTTGTGTTGTTTACTTACGGCTTATTCGCACAGAACATGGTTTAATCGCACAGATGAAATGGTGTGATGTCCCCATTCAGCCACAAAAATGATACATCTACCCCTTATTTAAAGCACCGCCTCCTTCCCATATGAGACACCCCATCGTCGGCCTCTTTATGATCTTTGTTTTGATGTTCAAATAATTAATATTGGGGGTAAATCGGTCATTTATGTTATTCAGCCGGTTGGTTCAGATAAAAAAAAAAGTAAACAACAACACTCATTTATTCAGACAAACAAATTTATCCATACATGACTTAATAAAATTTTTAGTAAACAGCCCATAACTCATACATCCTCCTCATTTTTAATGAAATTCAAACCTATGACCTTTTAGGAAGCCAAAATTCTAGTGAAACATTTTTGGTACGTTATATTGTGTCCGTTAAAAGAGGATGTGAATTTCTGCTAAGGAGATTTTAATCATTTTGTGTAAATTTTCCATTTTCAGTATTGTATTTTGTTCTATTGGAACCTATTTCAGTTAATTAACTAATATACTTCGTATTCTGGGAATACTTTAGGTTATAAATATATACACGCACAAACAAATATACGTATAGAGAGCGAGAGAGGAATATTCTTTTGCAAACCACCTAACTGATACGAAGCATATAGAATACAAAAACTAATCAGTTGTGATATTTATGGAAATGATGATTGTTTATTTATTATTATTTGAATATTTAAGAAAGATGATTAAAGTTCATTCACTATCATCAAATCGAAATATTTGTGGAACAATATATTGATTAGAATAGATGAACGATTGAGATTCATTTCTACCAATTTGGTGGTTTGCAATAGAAGGGATACACACACACACACACACATATATATATATATATATGTGTGTGTGTGTGTGTATCTGGAGAGGTTCAT